TTACCTTTAATTCGATATTACATATTTTGTCACTATCTACTTTTGGGTTTCAACAATTTAGTGATAATAAAAATACAAATAAATAAAGCAAATAAACCTCTTATATCTTCTTTATTTATTACCTGCGCCGAATAAATTTGGTATCGTTCAAATCAGCGTAAAAGTTCTATCAATCGGTATTTTTGGTTATTTTATAGCTAAACGGTCGCTATTCTACACCTGTTCTAGAAAATTACGCAAACGAAGGTGATGCTCACGAATATTTAGTATGAAGAATTTTTGGTTTTACTACTAATATCATTAGAAACTGTAGAGTAAGCAACATTCTGCACAAGTAAAGGAGCCGGTTTTATGTGTGGAAGCGAGAATACTGTTTTATTACAAAACCTTACTATTATTGAATCAGTTTTGTTAGAGAATGAACTGTAGTTTAAATGAAAATTCTTAAAAATTAATAATTAATAATTACACATGTTTATGTGCCAAACAATATCAATTTGAGAAGGGGGTGCTATAGATATGTCCTATACTGTATATTATTTTAATGAGTTACGTAAAAATAGTGCCGAAATCAATCAATTGTGCTTAAGGTGCCGGCTGCTTCCGAAGGGGTCAAAAATGGCAAGACGAGAACTCATTTTCTATCGCTGATCGACTCTTTTTTTCTTCATTTACGATACCTTCGCAAAACCGCCCATAGACCAGTTGCAAAACCGCCCAAGTTCGAGGCTACGTAATGAGCGGCAAAGCGGCAAGCGGCTGAACGGCGCCATACAAGTATCCCGCTCAGCCGCTCAGAGCATGGCCACTTCAATATAATGTTTTAATTAAGCCGCTTTCGCTTTGCCGCTCATTGCGTGGCCTCGGCCTAAATCACCGTTATGTGACTAAAACCACAGATTTGTAAAATAATAGCGAGAGAAAGTAACGCCTATCAAGGCAATGCCTTAAAAAAAACGTTTTTCTTCCTCTTTTGTTAAACTTTTTAATTTAAGGTAGGTGTTTTGCAGGCATCGGTTATATGTAGTTTACACCTACTCACCCTTGTATAGATAATCTGGTATCCCATATAAATCGAAGTTCCCTGGTGAATGCTGCCCATAGCTGGGCAAGTCCGCTTTTACCTCCATAATGTGCGTTGCAGGTAGCTAGTAGGCAACTAAGGCGCCAAGACAAAGAATCCATCATTGCTGATTTTATTCGATGCATGTCATACTACAAATATATACATGATGCATATGTACATAAGTATTTTATTACTGAAAAAAATATATTTTTTAAATTAATTATTTGTACTTCTTTCATCTCCTTTGGATCATTCGAAAAGCTATATTTAGCAACATCAGGATACAAATCGGGAAATAAGTACGCCAAGAAATGTCTTAATTCATTTTCATTAAGCGGGCCAGCTATATTATTAGAACCCTTTAGAAAATTTGAATCTTCAGGCAGATGGCTTAAACGAAAACGTCGAAGATGTGGATCTGTTATGTGTGGCAGTGACTTTTCTGAACCGCTTGGATATTCCGTTAAACTCTGTCCTATGTAGGTTTCTAAGGTACCTTTATCAGAATGTACTTTTAAATACTACCGTAAGCAGTTTGACAAATAAGATGTATAATACAGTTGTGCGACTTCGACGGAACAAAGTCAGAATGCAGCGGTGAATCTATAGCACCGCTTTCAGGAACCTCCAACCAATCGTAACCAAGGTATACTTGAGTACACGCATCGGGGAAATATCCGCATGGAAGTGCAATAAATTTCTTGATATTTAAAAATTCATTATTTTCACAGGAAGATTCATATAATGGTAAGCTCATTGAAATTCGTTTACGTACTGGTTTTAGAGCGTAAGTATTTCGCACGGATACAGTGATCGGATACACACAATTCGCTGGAAGTTTCTCTTTGAATAACGACAGCAAACCAGATAGGTATCGACATTCAATCGGTGACTGTTTAAGACACTACATCAAAATTAGTACGTTGCGTTAAGTGCATTCCTATTCCGAGAAATATACTTAATTTTGTATCGTGGATTTGCACAAAGATAGGGATCATTGGACAATATTCTGCCGACACGATCGCTGCGGCACTTAAGAAAAAGCTGAATGGATTTGATAACAATTGCTTGTGTGATTGATGTAGATGGATCAACACAAAACTATGCAACCCATACAGGAAAGAGATCGCATGCGCACTTTTGGAATTTTTGGATATTAGCGATGGTCCGAATGTGCTTTCAGCTGCCATTAGGTCATTATATATTGAACTATTTGTTCCGTTTCTTGCAAAATTCTTCTTTGCCTCTTCTTTGCTGGTAGTATAATAACTAATCGATATTTTCTCTTTAAGAAAAATAAGCGTCTCCGTCTGCACTTCCCAATCACAAAGAAACACATTGTTCACACAATCATCAGAATTTTTGTCGGTAAGTTTATGAAAAATTTCACCAAGTCGTGCAGTGAATATCTCCCAATCCGAGGCTGCGCTGAAATCCTGGCGATAGAAGCCACTTTCGTCAATTTCCTCTGCCATTTCAAAGTTTGCTCTAATTCAACAAGGGGAATACATTAGAGAAGGCAACGAGTTCGACTTTCGACCAAAATCGACTTTTTACTCCTAAAAGTCGACTTATAATGAGTTTCAGGTTATGGAAGTCGATTGAAGTCGACTTTCCCCCGTCGACTCTCGACTTTTTATAAGCTTCTATTTAACTTGATCATCCCGCGCAAATCGCGGAAATTTCCAATCGATTTTAAACTGACTCTCCGTCAAGTTAGCGACTTGAAATTTTCAGCATATTTAGTTCCAATAACGATGACAGTGAAACTTGAAATGTAAATGAATTTCCCATATGGTCCAGGGTTCTTGATTTAAAGGCGATAAAAAAATAGTATGATTTATGGCTAATACAGCGTAATTTGCCAGGGACGGAAAAACCACGGGAAAATTTTAGTAGACGGACGGCAAATTCTAGAAAAAAGGGGGATGAGGGGGGAGAATAGGACCCGCTGATTTCAAAAATACCCCCTTTTTTCTAGCAACCATATAGTTCTTATATAATTTATTGTTAAAGTTTTCATATAAACGATGAACAAGATAGCAGAATAACATACAACTTGGTGCTACCAGACTGGAATTTTGAATAATAAAAGGGGATTTTTAATTCGGAACTTTCACTTAGTAGAATTCTCCTTTCTGTTTTGCGAAGAAAAGGAGCTGAACACCGTTTGCAGAGAACACCTTTCTGCGTAGGCGGCCTTCGGCCGCACTTAGGAATTATAACTCTTAGGCAGTAGAATTCTCCTTTCTGATTTGCGAAGAAAAGGAGCTGAACACCTTTTGCAGAGAACACCTTTCTACGTAGGCGGCCTTCGGCCGCACTTAGGGATTATAACCCTCAGGCAGTAGAATTCTCCTTTCTGTTTTGCGAAGAAAAGGAGCTGAACACCGTTTGCAGAGAACACCTTTCTACGTAGGCGGCCTTCGGCCGCACTTAGGGATTATAACCCTCAGGCAGTAGAATTCTCCTTTCTGTTTTGCGAAGAAAAGGAGCTGAACAACTTTTGCAGAGAACACCTTTCTGCGTAGGCGGCCTTCGACCGAACTTAAAGCAAACAAATCGGGCGGGACCAACACCGCCTACGTCATGGGCAATATTTTTGCACATGGGTTCGTGACCGGAACCCCTCATTGATAATAATACACGCCCAGAATAAAAGTAGCGGTAAATTTTCATTTTCTTTTGTATTCCTTTTTAAACTTTGCCTTCTTTGTATGTATTGTTTTGTACAATATGGCAACACATGTTATGTGTCAGTTTGCAACCATGTGTTATTGTAAATATGGGTGCAATTCAATGTATTTTACAAGTCGATAAAAGTTGAATTAAAGTGATTTATATACAATATAAAATAAAGTAAGAGTGTGTAAAATATTAAGTACAGTGTTATGTGCATTTATATATATGAAAGTATGTGACAAATGCAGTTTTTGTTAAGGAAACCAAGTGGAACGACTTAAAAAATTTTAACAACAAATAACTTATAAAAAATGATATTGTTTATATTTTTTAGTTATACGTGTTTTAGAGGATACCTCCCTTAACATCCTGACCAAGTTTCATTTGTTAATTCCACCTGGTTTTCTTAAAACACAAGGTGCGGCTGACTACTAAAGCCCACCCAAAACCACTACAAAATTGTTAAAGCTGCCGGCGCGCCGCGGCGGTAGTGTAGCAAAGCTATTCCTAGTCTAAATATTAACCACGTTGTAGGCATCATATCAAGGAGATACAGTTAGAAGACTCCAGATGTCGCCCCGCTAGAGCCAGAAGAAGTTAAATATTGCGCCTGAATATATGCCATGCTACAGCGGAAATGTACATATGTATGTTTATACAAAACGTAAGCAAACAACATTTTGCTTGCCAAGTCTTCTGTTCTCTTACATTGCAAGTGGAATTATTTTAATATCTATTGCAAAATTTTATACATAAAACAAAATAACACCTTTTAATATACAACGCTTTTTAAATGGACAAAAAATTATAAAATAAAATAATGTAAAAAAAATATGTTTTAGAAAGCTTTTATTTTTACCGTTTTTCGGCGAATTCAGCGTACACGCATAATTGGTTAGGTATGTATGTATATTTATGTATGCAGATATTTAAATTCAGGTTTGCTATTCGCGCGACAAGCTTTTTTAAAAACGAAGTAAAGTAGTACAAATTGTTAGTAATTTTACTTAGAGTTTGAATAACTCCTTTCACTAAATGGCTTTTAGCAACTTTAACGAGACCTTAACTTAATTTATTTTATTTATTTTAGTGCAGTTTTGACAAAATTTTCTTGCTAAAAAATCTTTCGTTACACTACTTAATTTTATTCCTTTGATTGTACAGGTTAAATAAAAGCTTGTTTTTAAAAAACATTTTTTTACCATGTTTTATTTAGAAATTGATTTGCTCTACAGTCTCTTAAATAAATTTTCTTCTAACAATGGCGCCAAGTGCAGTTTTGTCTTATTTAAAAAAAATTGCCACTAACACCAAAGTTAAATGTGAAAAGTGTGATAGAGAACTAAATTTCAATAACAGTACTACAACATTGTCAAATCATTTAAGAGCAGTGCATAAAATTAATAAGGGTATTCATCAAACCTTATAAATGCATTGTAAACCGTATAAACTTATAATTGTGTAAACCTTATAAATGAACTGTCAAAATTTGTATGGAAACTCGTTTACACATTTCTGATAAATTTATCCAGCGATTTTACTGAATAAACTTGATAAACGGAAGACAATGCAACTCTGTCGAAACTCTAGCTATGTTTTCTTAGGCAATAATCGGGATCCGCATACAAATTTTGCACGCAAATTCAACAACGATATGATCGTGATAGAGATCTGGTTCAATTATTATCCCGTCTGTTTGTTTTGTTTCACTGATAATTCGCAAAGTTTGGTAGCCGTGACAAATGAATTCATACACAAACAGACATTCTGCCATTGTTTCTTATAACTTGCTTCAAATAAATAGTCTTTATGTTATATGTACATTTATTTAAATATATATCTCGTAAATATAGTTTTTTCCAATTTAGTGAGGTAGTTTCTATAATTTCTTTATCCCCGTGCTAGTAGTATAAAGTTAGTGACACTGCGCTTTATAACCAAAGAAAACACGACTATTGTCGCATGTGTAAACGAAAAGAGAGTGTGGGTCGTTCATGTAACAGAGTGCATAAACTTATAAGATTATCTGCTTGATAAAGTTATCGGTTTAGATGAATACCACTAATATAAGAAAAAAAATGCCTACGAATTTAAAAAGAATGGGGCGTCCTTCTGTGGATGAAAGTAGTACTGTTAATCCTTTGTCTCCACAAACTTCAGTCAATAATGAGGTAAGATATAGCTGTTTTTTTTCAATAATTTCATACAAGAAAGTTTTTCTTCATGAGTTTGTGTACGTTACCAATAATTATATTTTTTAAATAAATTTAAAATATTTGTAGGTTACGATGGCTATGGTAGACACTTATGAAGTGCAATCAGATGCAAGTCAAGAGATATGTGGAACTGCTTCTCCTTCTACATCTTTACCGATAACTTCTGCTGGACCTATAGATAAATGTGTAAACAATATGTTTTCATTATCAGCTACGGGTACCAAGTAAAGTGGTGTAAATAACAATAATAATAATACAATTCTTTAGCTGGTGGACATCGAGATATTGGCGTGACTAACGCATTGTTATTTATGATTGCTAATACCATGTCACCACCGGAGCTAACCCCGTAGTTATGTCTGTTGAGTTGGTTATCCCGATAACGAAGTAGTCAGTTAGCGAAGTTCTGCCACATAAAAATGACAGCATTTAACAAAATGACAGCATATGGTTAAAAGCTTACGAACTCGAAACCATGTCGAAAGTCTGATACAACCCTGTGTTTTCCCGATATCTGTGGGTCATTTGGGTAAAATGGAAAAAAATCGTTCCTTACTAGTGTTTGGACTTTACTAAGGGCCAATTTCAAATGAATATTTAAACGGCATTTAAGTTTAATTTTGGATTGTTATTTAAATGCCATTTAACTTTCGTTGGTTTTCTAATCACCTTTATTTAAATAAGAAAAGCATGTGGCACCACTGTGCTTTTTTCTTGAAGTTGGTTGCTATGAACATATGTTTTCCGGCAAAAAAATGAACAGAGATTTGCAGTACGAGTTTTTACTTTGAAAATTTTGGATGATTAGATATAAAAAAAAGGCGTGAGTACTAGGTACTCATGAAATTTGATGTGTATTCATATGCGAATGGCAAAGCATAAAAGGACGTTTACATATAAATAAAATCTCAATCAAAGCTCGTTAGCTGTCAAATTGGTTGTGCTTGTTATTCACACAACTCGAGGAAAAGTTAAACTTCTTCTCTGTGCCACCGTGGTCACTTTTTTTTTGCAACACATATTAGGCCATTTAAATATATTTTAGCTGAATATTTTATTAAAAATACCTTTACAAACCTATTTTCCTTACTAGCGTCAATTTTTGTTTACTTTAACATTTGACATTCCTCCTCTTCTTCGCAAGTATAATCGATAAAACTGGGTTGGGCACCAAAAAGTTATCGGTTTAATCTGAGATATTTTTAATTATAATTTCGCATGGCTAATCTCTTTTTCTAATAACAGATTAGGGAGTCAAGCTCGAAAATTAGGATAATATTTTTATATATAAAGGCGATTCAGTTACACACATACAAATGTGGGTTAGGTTAGAAATTAAACATTAATTTCACTTAATTTTATTCATTTTGCTATTAAATTTTTTTATTAATTTTCATTTTTAATTCTTTTAATACATGACATTATCGGTATGATTGATAAAATATACTCGTATATACTTGTAACTAAAGGTAAATGTAAAATTGAAATAATTTGTATTACAGATAGGTTATATTAATAAAATATATATGTTGTGCACGCCACAAAGCTCCTGCTGGCACTTACAAAAGAAATGAACACCACCAATTTGTATTTAATGAACGTTGACGTTGTCACCGTTGAAAAGTTGTTCGTTTATTTCACTGAAATAATATATAATATAAATCTTACAAGTTTAGTTTAGCAGAAATAATTTCTTACACTTTGTATTCTTGTGCCGGTAAGACTGGCGTACAAACAGTAAATGACAAATTCAAATTTGGAAATACATATGTAAGTGAAATGAAAGAAAATGAAAGAAGACAAATAACTGCAGGGTTGCATTTGAAGTCTGGCGGGTGTGTTCGCAACATCCCACCCCCCGGTGAAGGGCTCTATGCTTCACCCTAAAACATCCAACACCGCCAGCTTCGATACTGGTCGTTGTAGCACGCCGTTCTCCGTCTTGACATCGGCCAGGCGAACATGTCCGTCTCTAGCTTTTACCGTTGAAATCACGATACCCTTTCTCCACTCGCTGCGTGGAAGATTACCATCACAGATGATGACTACATCACCGGTCTTTACTTCAGGCTGAGGTGCAAACCATTTCGTCCGTTTCGTAAGCGTAGGCAAATATTCTTTTATCCAGCGATGCCAAAACTGATTTTTCAGTTGCTGGCTTATTCGATACTGCTTCCTAATGGCGACCGCTCCTTCGTCCCCTGGCGTTTGTGTAGAGTTAGTGGCCCCCAACAGAAAGTGGTTGGGAGTTAGTGGATCAGGCTCCTCTGGTGTGACTGGCAAGTGAGTCAACGGGCGGCTGTTGACTATATTTTCCGCCTCAATTAGGAGGCTGTTCAAGGTATCTACTTGCGGCGCCTTCTCCTTCAATGTCATTGCCAGTACTTTCTTCACTGACTGTATGAGACGCTCCCAGCATCCGCCACTGCTTGGGTTCGCTGGACAGTTGAATTCCCAAATGATGCCTCGCGTTGACAACTCGGTTCGAATGTACTTGTCGTCGAAGATATCCGCCACCTTGGATAGCTCAACACTCGCACCCACAAAGTTGGTACCCATATCCGAACGAATTTTGGCTGGAACACCACGGCGGTTAACGAAGTTCCTTATACAAAGGATACAAGCATCAGAAGAAAGATCACGTGCAAGTCCAATGTGGATAGCGCGTATGGTTAGACAGGTGAATAATGCTGCCCACCGTTTCTCCGTTCTTCTACCAATTGCTACCATTATGGGACCAAAGTAGTCAAGTCCTGTGTACGTAAAAGGCCGCACATATGGCGTTACGCGATCGACTGGCA